TCTCCTCGCTCCCCTCAGGAACCTGATGATCAGGTCATGCTTCCCCACAGACTTACCTTCTATCGGGTCATGATCTGCGGCAATAGCGGCGACATAGACCTTGAGGGTGGAGGGAGACAGCCTTCGCTCCAACCCTTCTTGAAGAAAGGAAAGCAGAACACTGATCGAACATCTCCGGGGGTCTTCTCGGTGAGAAGAGCACCAGTTGACGAAGAGGTTCCACTTCAACGCATAGACGTGTCTCGTGGACGACGCTCTAGCGGAAGTGATGGTAGCCACCACCGCTGGTGGTAGGGTACTCAAACCTACCTTGTCCCGTCCAGGAGCCACACGTGGAGGTTCCAAAGATCGGGACGAGGGTGCCACAGGGTGCCCCGTCCCTGAGAAAGGAGGTCCTTCCTCAGAGGAATCGGCCAAGGAGGTGCTGTCGCGAGGAGTATGAGTTCGGAGAACCAGGTCCGGGTGGGCCAGTACGGCGCGACCAGAGTGACCTGCTCCTCGTCCTCCCTGACCTTGCGCAGGAATTGCGCAAGAAGGCTCACTGGGGGAAACGCATATTTGCGGCCCTGCGGCCAGCTGTGCGCCAGTGCATCCGTGCCGAGCGTGCCCTCGGTCAGGGAATAATACAGGGCGCAATGGGTCGAGTCGTGAGAGGCAAACAGATCTATCTGTGCGTCCCCGAACTGGTCCCAAATCAGCTGAACCGACTGGGGATGGAGTCGCCAATCTCCCGGGAGGGGCTGAAGCCGTGAGAGCTCATCGGCTGCACAGTTCAGGGCTCCGGGGATATAAATGGCACGAAGCGACCTCAGATGCTTCTGACTCCATAAGAGGAGGTGGCGGGCGAGTTGCGACATACGGCGGGAGCGCAGACCACCTTGACGGTTGATGTACGCTACGGTCGAGGTATTGTCTGAACGGACTAGTACACGCTGGCCCCTGAGCACGGCTCGGAAGCGGCGCAAGGCGAGCTGTACAGCCAGCAACTCGAGGCAATTGACGTGCCATAGGCGGTGGGGTCCTGTCCAGGAGCCCGCGGCAGCACGTCCATTGCACATGGCACCCCAGCCCGTGGTAGAGGCATCTGTCGTTACGACAATATGCCGGGAAGCTCGTTCCAGGGGCACTCCGGCCCGTAGAAAACTGAGGTTCGACCACGGGGTGAAGGTCTGACGGCAGGTCTGAGTAACTGGTACTCGGAGAGTGCCGTGTTGCCATGCCCACCTCGGGACTCGGTCGCGAAGCCAAAGCTGAAGCGGTCTCATATGAAGTAATCCGAGCGGCGTTGCCACGGCTGCGGATGCCATATGCCCCAGGAGCCTCTGAAAAAGTTTCAGTGGAACCGCACTCTTGCCCTCGAACTGTCTCAGGCAAGTCAGCAGTGACTGCGCGCGCTCGCTCGTAAGCTGCGCGGACATGGCGACCGAGTCGATCTCCATACCGAGAAAAGAGATCCTCTGCACGGGGCAAAGTTTGCTCTTCTCCCAGTTGACCCGAAGGCCCAGACGGGCTACATGGCGGAGCACCAAATCCCTGTGTTCGCAAAGCTGATCTCGAGAGTGAGCTAGAATTAGCCAGTCGTCGAGGTAATTCAGAATGCGAACCCCGTGTTCCCGGAGGGGAACAAGGGCTGCCTCGACGACCTTCGTGAAGACGCGAGGAGACAGGGCTAGCCCGAATGGGAGAACTGCGTACTGATATGCCTGCCCCTCGAAAGCAAACCGCAGGAACGGTCTGTGTCGAGGGAGGATGGAGACATGAAAGTAGGCGTCCTTCAGGTCGATCGCTGCAAACCAATCCTGGTGCCGCACACATTCGAAAACGCGTTTGGCGGTGAGCATCTTGAACGGCAGCCTGTGAAGGGAGCGGTTCAGAACGCGCAGGTCCAGGATTGGCCGTAACCCACCGGTTTTCTTCGGGACAATGAAATACGGGCTGTAGAAGCCAGTCTTCATTTCGGCTGGAGGGACATTCTCGATCGCACCCTTCGCCAGCAGGGTGGCAACCTCCGCTCTCATGATAGGGGCATTGCCACCGACCATAGTGGAGCGGACTCCCCTGAAGCGGGGAGGAGACCGCGCGAACTGAATCGCGTAGCCGAGCCTGATCGTTCGTGCGACCCAGCGGGACAGGTTGGGAAGCTCTAGCCAGGCTCCCAAGGACTGAACCAGCGGGGTCATGCGAACCACAGACTTCCCGTCGGTGGGGCAGCGAGGCGGTATGGCTGACCCAGACGTGGACGGCATAGCGGCCCGGTGTGGGGGTACAGCCATGGACCGCGTCCTGACAGAGGAGACCAGGGAAGGACGAACGTTCCACGGGGGTCTGCTCTGCCAGGGGTCTGGCGACAGAGGAGGATGAGAGCGGCACGGTCCGGGGACGGCGCGCACTGTCATCCGGCTCTGGGACAGAGGAGGACGAGGGGTGCACGGCCCGGGGGCGGCGCACCGTGTCGTCCGAGAACTCTGTGTGCTCAGGGATGAATGTGTCACTTCTTTCTTTAACCACATTAGGGTTAAAGAGTGGAGAACAAAAGATTCTCCCCCGGCCCTCCACCGGGGGAAGGAGTGGTCCTGCTACCATCTCCTGAGAAGTGAACATCATCCCTGAGCAGCCCGTCTCAGGAGCGCCGCTTGGCCCGGCGTTTAGCGGGGGGCGGGGCTGGAGAGGGCTGGGGCGCCTTCTTACGGCTTCCTCCGCGACCGGGCCCAGGTGAAGGCTGCTGCTTGGGCCGGGCGGGAGGGGCGGGAGCCGTAGGAGGGCGCCCTCGGCGGCGAACAGACTGAGTATTCTGCCCGGTCGGCTGGGTGGAGGCAGCAGCGGGCCGTCGGGGCAGAATATGCTTAATCGCCTCAGTCTGTTTCTGAGCAGTCGAGAACTGTTGGGCAAAATCCTCGACTGCACCGCCGAAAAGGCCGTCTTGTGATATGGGGGTGTCGAGCAGCCGGGACCGCTCGGCATCCTTCATATCAGCAAGGTTCAGCCAGAGGTGTCTCTCCTGGACCACAGCTGTGGACATCACCAAACCCAGGGAGCGTGCGGTCACCTTCGTCGCTCGGAGAGCAAGGTCGGTGGCGGCGCGCAGCTCATTGAAGAGCCCTGGGTCTGTCCTGCCTTCGTGCATGTCCCTGAGCATCTGGGCCTGGTAGACCTGCAGAATGGCCATGGCATGCAAAGAGGTGGCTGCCTGTCCCGCAGCTCTGTAAGACTTCGCCACTAACGTAGACGAGTACCTACAGGCTTTGGATGGGTGCTTAGGCTCACCACGAGAAGAAGCGCTCTGAGGACACAGTTGCATCGCAACAGAGCGTTCAACCGGGGGGAGCCCAGTGTACCCACGGGCAGCGGCCTCATCGAGGGGAGGAAAGGTGGATGAAATCATCGAGCGGTCACGGGAAGACATGGGGGTCTTCCAGGACTTCGAGATCTCATCATGCACGTCCGGGAAGAAAGGTATCGGGGCCTGACGCGGACGGGGGTCCGCAGCCTGACCCAAATACCAATCATCCAGCCGCGAGCGCTCGGGGCAGGGCGGAGGGGTCCACTCTAACCCGATGCTCGCGGCGGCTCGAGACAGCATGGCCGTCATCTCTGGATCAGACTCTGGCACAACTGTATTCACACCCGAAGGTGGCAGCTGTGATGAGTCTTCACTTCCAGAAGACTCAGACCCACCTTGTGATGCCGCGATAGACATCGCGTCCTCCTCTGGAGCGCCAAAGGAAACCCGCGGGGCACCCGAAGATGATCCCACAGGAATCCCCTGAGCACTCACGGGTTGCAACACTGGAGAGGGTGCGGCTGGGCACGGACTGATAGTCGGCGCTTTGTTCCAAACCGTCACCCTCAGATCACCCTGGCCACCAGCCGAAGTACTAGCTCTATTTCTAGAGTCAGTAGATTAGTCAGTAGTAGTAGCAAGTTAATTAAATACCCACGAGGTGAGGCGGAGTTACGCTATGCAAATTCCGCAGACCCATGGCATTTCTTTGCCATTGGCTCGTTTTGTAGTACTCGAAGTCGATTGGCTTTCTAAGCGAAACCCCATTCGTCGTCATCCGACGGAACTCGGAGTGACAACGAAAGGGAACCGCATTTTTCCATCTTAAAAATATATCTAAATTACATCATATGCTCTCATTAACAAATGCGGAACAATTAGTTAATGCGTTCATGACATCAAGGCTAGATTATTGTAATGCTCTACTGGGTGGTTGCCCTGCACACTTAATAAACAAACTACAGCCGGTCCAAAACGCAGCAGCTCGAGTTCTTACCAGAACCAGGAAGTATGACCATATTAGCCCAGTTCTGTCAACACTGCATTGGCTCCCTATTAAACATTGTATCAATTTTAAAATATTGCTAATTACTTACAAAGCACTAAATGGTTTTGGAATGCCTACTCTAATATGAAGCATGCCACATCTGTACAACTACACCTTGTAAAAATGTAACACATTAACTTTGCAAACATGATTCATATTAAATGGCAATATATTTGTTAATAATTAAGTGATGACTGAATACACCAAGGCCAAGCTTTATGTAGATCATATTTTCAACCAACCGTAACCAAGGTCTTCCCTACTGTCTGTCACCAAAAGACTCCTCAAATAAAACAAGGCTTAATTAATTTGTGTTGGTTATTTCCCATATGTTGTGGCTTTTTGTTTTTAAAATGGTTAAAATTTAAAATTCATAGTTAGAGTAAATAATAGATAATTCCTCCAAGCATTCCAAAGGCAAAGCTCCCTTTGTGTTATAAAGAACATAAGTCATAAAATTGATTTCACAGTAGGCCAATGTTTATTTCATTAGTAAATAAAACCCATAATAAAAAGAAAAAAACGTTATTTGATCAAATATGTGTGTATAGTTTTAAGAGTTATGCATTCCATATTCATCTTGTGCCGTTTATTAATAAACAAGAAAAAGCATAGGCTATACAACAGGATTGATTGCATGCTCAAGTTTTAAATACAACCGATTTTGCTTTATTATATTCCTCTATTCAGTCGGAAGGTTTTCTCGCCACAAGTTGACACGGAGTTGCTCTTCTGGTCTTCTACAGGCAGTAAATTAAACTCGTGGATAGAGAGGCCTAAACCTCTGAGCGCTTCCTCAATATCATACTGACTCAGTCTAAGACAAGAAAAGGACTGTTCATCCACCTTGTAGAAGGTCTCACCCAGAACACCTACCATGACCAGAAGTACACCAGGACGCAGGAGCTTGGTCAGCCCATGTAAAGCGCGACGGTATGTCTGAATGTCTTTACACGCTGCTTCCAGGCACAGAGATGTAATGACGCAGTCAGCTGGTTCCAATGTGTGTGGATAGAACGTATTATCCAACCGGACATCACATTTTAAAACCTTTTTGACTCGTTGCTTAAGCGAAGCCTCCAAATCAGATGGGCTGAATAGTTCAAAGATGAATGAAAAGCGATATAAATAAATTATAACAAAATACCAAGAAGAATATTATCATGTGTAAAAGGGCTTAATTGGCTCTGTAATTTTATAAATGGGTGTGGGTTTTTTGTTTCATCCTTACATAGTTTTACCAATGGAATTAGCCAGCAAGTTAATTCCAAAATTATTTAAAAGCGTAATGTTATTATGCGAAATGTGATGAAAATAACAATGTAAGAAAAGAGAATTTTCCTCTGTTAGGCATTGTTAGGTATAGGAAGCTTGTTTCTATGGAAGCTTGTTTCCGCCACTGAATAAAAAAAATTAAAAAAAAGAATTGCGACTTTTTATCTCACAATTGCGAGATATGAAGTCAGAATTGTGAGAAATAAAGTCGCAATTGCGAGATATAAAGTCGCAATTCTGAGAAATAAAGTTGCAATTGCGAGATATAAAGTCGCAATTGGGTGATTCTCCAACTACAGGCACTTTTGTATCCTTGGCCTTTTTTTGTAAATAAATAAACAAACAAATGCACAAATACATTGTCATTATGAAGTTCATGCTCCAACATCCTAGTAACCACCAAATCTTGCCCCTGTTTTTATTTTCAAAATGCTTTTGCAAGGCTATTTTTTAGTAGATTTTGCAGTTTTATGCTTGTCCCCTAGCCTGACTTCGTCATACTCATATTCTAGTCAGAATGTGAGTATGATACTGCTCCATAGGGCTTTGATTATGAGGCGTGTCTTAACAGAACCAGAAAAAAAAAAAAACTCTGCACTCAATTGGATAGACCTACAACCAATGAGAGCAACGCAGTAAGTCAACTACTTTGCATAGCACAGTTGTCAACTACAGAACTCAAATGCACGCACGCTGGAAGAAGTAAAATAACGAGTGTTGCTTCTTTTACTTGGTCCTCTATGAGTGCGACCAAAGGAGAAACCACAACGACCACAGGGTTTTCACTGCGTCCCATCTTCTTAGTGACCATCGGAGCCAGCTGATAAATTAAACTTTTGCCGAATCCCGTAGGAACGACGGCAAACACATCTTTCCGATCGGCAAATGCCTTGATTGCAGTTCTCTGTTCGTCTATTAAAATGACGTTCTCTGTCGATTTCTTTTACAACAGACGCGATAGCGGAATCTACACATCTCAGTTCTCCAGCGGCAGTCATCTCTGAGGGAAACCAGTTAAGCGCTCTTTGATAACGTGATGATTACGTCCCTGCAGATCATCTGTCCATCATCGTATAAAGCCCGCCCTGGCAATTTGATTGGCCCGAACATTTTTTGACTGATCATAATTACTCCTCAATAGAGCTGGTAAGTCCCGCCCCTTCCGCTTACCCCGCTGGACCTCTAGGTTGAAAAATCGTCAATGCAAGTGAATGAGAGAAAATAATTATTTTCTAATCCCGTTTGAATTTTGCAATGAATGTGAACATAATTGTCTGTGAATTTTTTATATAAATTTTCGTGTAAAGAATGCTACAATTTAGCGGGTAGAATTTTCATACGGTTAGACTTTGTGTGAGAGCACTTTGTGGACTACAACTCTTCGCTGCTTTCGACGCGTTTGATATACGTCACCACCACTAGCACACGGATCCCACTAAACATGCCTTTGTTTGAATGGTGACATGTGGGTACAAAACACACAGGCATCTCGATCTAATTCCTTAGATTATCGCACCGTGATTTGTGGAGGGAAAATGTGTTATGCGGTGACGTCACATATACGACGTGTAGTCTTTCTCGTTATGTCTCTTCCACAACTGCTAGCCAAAGAATCATACAATATACTGTCAAACTCGTTACATGAGAAATTATATAAAAAATTCACAGACAACATGTTCACATTCATGGCACAATTCAAACGGGATCAGAAAATAATTATTTTCTCTCATTCACTTGCATTGACGCTTTTTCAACCTAGAGGTCCACTTGGAGTTTTACGGATGGGCGGGACATGTGACACAGGTATACAGGTTTTGGGACCAGCATGAGAAGGTGCAGGGCATCTCACACTGAGACAAGAACTTCAAGACAAACAGTCTCAGTAATAAACTCAGCAAGAGTCTTTGCCCTGGTGAGACACGAGAACAGGAAAGGCATGGCCTTCTCGCATTGAGACAGGGCAGTCAGGATAATAAAATAGCAGATGTTCACACCTGCTCCGCAGGGCTTCCCGCACTGAGACAGGAACCCCACGACAAATGGTTTGCATTTAACTTGCAATAGACAGGAAAAGGCAGGTTTGTGACATTTACCTTAGTTACAAAATTCACACTAATAAACTTCCTCAGTTTATATACTATAAATCTAAATTAAACATTTGAATAAATTGTGACCTGATCCAGCAAAATGAGTCAGAGTGACCCAAATTTAAAAATTGAGATTTTGGTATTAATGGAAAGAGGAGACCATAAGCTTTCAATTGATATCCTAGTCAAAGTCATACCTTGAATGGTTGTAAAGATATACACATTTGAATTATGGTCGTCTGCCCTCTTTTTCCAATTGAAAACCTGAGAAAATCGCTTTTAAAGTTTTTTGCCCGTTTTTTGTTGATATCTTTCAAAAATCCATTACATTTAAAGGGATAAACTATTTATTTTACAGCTTAATTTGACCAAAGACATTAATATATAAATGCTATTAAACCAGGCTGAATCTCAAATTATTTTAAAAGTTTTTATTTGAATAAATAATTTAACAGTAGGCCTACCTTTTACAAAAATGTACTAAAATCAGAAAGATTGAACAGAGGTGCTACATTTTTGCTTGAGAGAGAGGGTGTGTGTGTGTGTCTGTGTGTGTGTGTGAGAGAGAGAGAGAGAGAAAGTGAGAGGCAGAGAGACAAGGAAACAGAGATCAAATAATGCTAGTCTATGCAATCATATCTTAGTGTAGGCTAGTTGACAATAACAGCGTAACAAATTCATAACGGAGATACCAGTTAAATATTGGGTTAATCAAACACATTGTAATGGATTCTCCTTGCAGATAAATAGCTACACTCATTCACATTTGTCAATCACGTTATGTCAATCACGCGTGCACACTACGAAACTTTCATCCGTTATATAAAAACAATCGTAAGTTTTTCACATCCGTAGCAAACAGTTTGAATGGTGTTTTGACAATTCGGAGCCACCGAATCAATACGAAAAAACGCACACGGAAAAAACGCGGACTCAGTGTGCAATGGCCAGGGGGCTTGATGACGCTTTGGCAACTTTTCTCACTTTTGACAGCGACATTTCTCAAATTAATAATATTTAATCTTTCTGAGGAGATCTGCTAGCTTGTTTATTACACAGAGCGCTCGCTGCGAGTCTGACAGGAGGGTGGCTGGACCAATCGCGTGCCGGTCAGTCGAAATGGTTTCCCATCGACAAATGATCAGCATTTGTGTACATTTCTAAGCTTTTTGATTGGTTCTATACAACGTGTAACACCATTTAAAGAGCAGAGATAGTGACGTTTCAGGGGATACCCGGGAAATGCTCAGAGGTGACGAGAGGAGTTGAGAAAAGCAATGTTCATTTCCAGCGAATTTAGTAAAACTTTGTACACTTTAATAGTAATTTAAATACCTTTACTCAATTATCTGGACTACGAAACTTTGGGAGATTATTTTTGAATGTCTGTTCTTTGAAATTATCACAAAAAAAAAAAATCTATTGTTTCATTGTTTTTCCACATAATCGGCCCATATCTTAAAATAGAACGTTGCGACTTCCGACTCATTTCGCCAGATCGGGTCACAATTTGTATTCCTTCAATTCCCCCTTTGGGAGTTCTAAAATAACTCCCACTTTATAAACAAATTTAAACACTTAAAAATTCATTCTTGTAACTTGTGTAAGTTACAGGCACAAGCTTGTTCTGTGTTGATTTTCTGTAATTGCATGGTGACACAGAAACAACATGCAATTTCGGTCCGTGAAGTTCTTACGGGTAATAGTCTTGACTCTTTTCTGGTTGGAAATGTCATTTTCTTGTGAGAGGCGTGATTGATTTGTTGAATGAAAAACTTGATACTGTGGACGCATAGATAATACGCTAATAAGAGAAACAACAGCAGAATTGCTATTTACTTCATCCACATCCACGGTTTACCTAACAAGTTTCCGAACCAGGAAGAGTTATCTTCAGTCATCTGGTGTGATTTTGCTGAAAGACCAAGAATATCTTGTTGGATTTTGTTCAAGTTCTCTGTGGGATCCATTAAACCGGTGCAGCACTCAGGACCAATGATGGTGCAGGCTCCTCCTTGTGATGCTAGAACGTAATCCAAGGCCACTCTGTTCTGTAAGATCATTATCTTGTGCGAAGCGAGAGTGTTCGTGATGTTACCCAGGGCCAAAGCCGTATCATTGGCCAATTTTTGTACAGAATTCGATAAGCTTCTGACTTGATCCAGGGCCTGCATGACACCATAAGACGGGATTAATGCTCCAAGAGTTCTTGACCACCATGTTTGTGCGCAAGTGAGTCCGGGAATGCAGCCATCTTCTTTGTTTGTGGTGGGAGCTGAATTTTGTAGCTGTGGGGAGCTTGAGGTGGAATGTGTATTTTCTCTGATAGCTGGTAGAACATAAACCAGGGTGCACCTTCCGTTGAATTGACTGGGGAGGATGCTGTAGACAGAAGTTCCACATAACCAAAAAGTGTCAGTTGGTGGAGGGATCATGCACAACTGATTTATTGCAAAAAAATGTGATAGGGATGGGTTCCTGGAGAGACACTCTGTTAAGTCCTTTTCCTCTTTCTTCTCTGTTGTAGAAACGTACACATAGGATTCTTCTCCTTTTTCAATCACAAAGCTGCAACGTTCACGAGGAATTTCACCCAGTGGAGTCGATGCTGGAGCATAATTTTCCATGCACCAATGGAACATCATTGGCAGAAGCAGATCTGTCATGATGGGAGTAGCTGAAGTTAAGTTGCAGGATGGTAGTCCTGGAATGCAACACGAAAAAGCTGGAGGAAGTGTTACATTGTGACATGTGTCCTTGTTGTATAATCCACTGGTATGATGATTGA